AGTAACATATTTTGGAGCTCACACCACATCTGTAATTAAAGAGTTTCTTATTCATGTTAAGAGATTCCAGTGTATGGATGTACTGTATGGTATTAAGGCAACTCTCCACAAAAATGGACAGGTAGCTGTTTCCAATCTTGTGCTATTCCTATCAGCATACCTGAAACTCGCTGGATGAATTTCATTGCTTCTTCCACTGGATCTGAGTTTACAACTGCATCTAGAATACCCAGTTTGAAAGCTTCACGTGCCAAAATATGCCTTCCTATACAAAACAAAATGAAAGAAATCAAAGAACTTTGTGAGATTAAAACAAAAGCATTACTCCCTCCTTCCTGTATCTGCCAGGGTTAGAAATACTTATTACCAAATAAAGTAAATCAGACGAATGTTGTAGTAGAAGTCAGTACAGAGGTCGTCAGAAAACTTGGATTCAAGCTCCAGTTCGACCTTTTACTGTTTGTGTAGAGTGAAAAAGCCTGGGCTTGGACCACAAGTTCCTCATCAGTAAATGGGGATAATTACACTTACCTCAGTCATTTTGTGCATTAGATGGGAATAATATATGAGAGAGCAATTTATGCACCATAAAGCTGTATACAAATGCAATAGAAACAATAGTAACAGAGAAGCAGCATTAATAATTATCTTACACCTAACATATAGGGGTTGGCAGTTTGAATCCACCCAGAGGCACCTCAAAAAAAGGTCTGGTGTTCTACTTCTGAAAGCTCAGAGCCATAAAAGCCCTGTGGAGTAGTTCCACTCTGAGACACATGGGCTCAATATGAGTTGGAATTGATTTAACAACAACTGGTTTGGGGCTTCTTTGGTGATTGATTTAAAAAAAAAAAAAAAAACCCAACTCAACCACAGTCCCTGAAGATAAATATAGTAGAGAGACAAAGTCAGAAGGAAGGACACAATGACACATGGTTTGCTTTCATGCCAGTACCATATTGTCTTCTAAAGAGCAGTCATCAAAACTGAATGACCTCTCTGAGACAAACCATCCATTTCTGATTCTTATTAGTGCTTCAAAGAAGCACAAATGAGTTTTCTTCATTAGGTAGACAGCTTGATGATTTTTGCCAGGGGTTATTCTGTAATGGAGTCCTGGTGTGGCACTGTAGGAAAAACATTGGACCACCAGGTCAGTGGTTCACCAGCCACTCCTCAAAAACCCTAAACAGGGTAGCTATGAGTCGGAACCGACTCAGCAGCACTTAACAGCAACTCTGTAACAGCACTATGTGCGCATTTTTCTGGACTTGCTTTGAGCGCTCCTCTTGAGGTGGGGGACAGGGTGGGGAGTCAAGGAATAGCTCTAAAAATCAACTCTCCTGTATATTAATACCACTTGGGTGAGGGGTGAGTGAGTCAGCCTCCCCAAGTTAAAGGGGCCAAGTGGACATGAAAAAGGATGAAACCTGGATACAAAAGAATCTTTGGGCTACAAAGCAGGAGCGCCATGAGATACCCACAGAACATTTCTTCAGCATTAATGAATTCTTTTGACTTAAGTTGCCTTCAGTATAGAAAACAACTACCATCTAACGGGCTCTGAGAAGAGACCCGTGTAGATGTACTATAAGGAGACTTAACCTTAGCAGTTGAGACTAAGACTTCTCTTACCTGTTTTTTTCCAGTTTTCCTCCTAGCTTATTTCCCCATCTTTTCTACACAGAATCCTTTCCATAGGTCACTCTAAACTCTCCCTAAAAGTGTACTCCCAAGAAGAGAACAAACAAGATGGCGGATCCGGTAGAAGTGCAGTAAGGAGCTATGTCAGCAACAACACAGAATACAGGAACAAGCAGGCTCAGGGGATGGTCCCAGAACTCTGAACCACATATAAAAGAATATTTAGAAGGTTGGAAGGCTTACAGCAGGAGAAATTTGTGGCAAAAGCAAGAAATCCATTGTTTTCTAATTCGAGACACTCAGTTGCTCCAGGCGCCGCCATCTTGGGTAAGACCAGGCAGGGGAAGGATCAGAGTGGCCACAAACGCCTGGCAGAACCGCAGAGATAAAGGTGTGCACATTCTTTTCTTTTGGTATCTGTTCATTGGTCCCTTGCTGTCTGCACACCTCCCTTGCTGTCTGCGCACCTCCATTCTGGTGACCATAGGGGTGCCTGAGCTAGTGAACACCCCAGCCCCATCCTCGGAGGGTTCTATTACGCATGCGCACAGATCTCCTCGAAATTTAAAGAGACAGTTTCACTTAAAACCAAATGGCCACAGCCAGCCCTGAACTGTTTATAAATAGAATGAAGGCCTGAATGGGGATTGTGGAGCAGGACAGGCAGACAAAAAAGGATACAGGCCAAAAATTAAATCCTAAATTACTTCAAAACGACCAACAGTGGCATCCTGAAATTTCTCAAGAAGAAGAGTGAAAAGGGAAGCCCACTTCCTAATCACATCTACCTGGAGATCATCAGAAAGCATAAAAAAATACCAAAATACACACCCATCTAAGTATTAAGCCACAGATAACCCCTGAATATGCCCAAAAAACAGAAGCAGATGACCATATCTGCACATGTCCATAAATGAGAAAAAGTGACTGAGGCAAATGAGCTGGAAGTAGACCTACACTCCATACTGGAAGATGGGCAGGCTTTGGAAATGCCTGAGAAGGAATTCAGAAAAATGATTATAAAATGTATCAAAACACTATATAATGGCCCGAGACAAAGGGAAGCGCCCCCGCCACCACCACCACCACCACCTCCGCTATGGCCGCAGCCGTAGCCGCTCGGCTTCCCGCTTGTCGCGACTCGCCGGGCTGCGGGCACCAGAGGATTTGTACTTACTATGTCAGGGATTGCCCTCAGCAGACTTGCCAAGGAGAGGAAAGCATGGAGAAAGGACCACCCATTTGGATTTGTGGCCGTGCCAACCAAAAACCCAGACGGCACGATGAACCTCATGAACTGGGAATGTGCCATTCCCGGGAAGAAGGGGACTCCGTGGGAAGGAGGCCTGTTCAAGCTACGGATGCTTTTCAAAGATGATTACCCATCTTCCCCACCAAAATGTAAATTTGAGCTGCCTCTCTTTCACCCGAATGTGTACCCACCGGGCCCCGTGTGCCTGTCCATCCTAGAGGAGGACAAGGACTGGAGGCCGGCCATCACGATCAAACAGATCTTATTAGGAATTCAGGAGCTCCTCAATGAACCAAATATCCAAGACCCATCGCAAGAAGAGGTATACATGATTTACTGCCAGAACAGAGTGGAGTACGAGAAGAGGGTTCGAACACAAGCCAAGAAGTTCGCGCCCTCATAAGCAGTGGCCGTGGCCGCACAGGAAGGAGTGGTTTGGCAAGAACTTGTTTACAACACTTTTGCAAAGTCGCTCTGTACATCACTAGGCACCTGGGGAGGGTTGGGAGGGCCACTGGTCCACAGCTCTCAAGTCGCTAACTTGCCCCCGTTTTTCACACAGGGTCTCTTCCTTCCGTCTTTTGTATTTTTGATTGTTATGTAAAACTTGGCTTTTATTTTAATATTGATGTCAATATTTCAACTGCTGTACAATGATAAACTTTTATACTTGGGCTCCTCCGCTCTTGGATGCAGGCATGCTTCCCACCCGACGTTCGTGCCCACTTTGCCTCTCGCTGGCCGTCTGTCCTCTCCAGAGCTGTGTCCCTGTGAGCCGGCTCCCACTCCTGCACCACTCCCTTCATGTGTCTATGACATTTTGTCTGTGTTGCTGTTTAGAGTAAATAAACTGTTTATATTAAAAAAAAAAAACACCACTATATAATGGAGTTAAGAAAATAAGGAAGAAGTCAGGAAAGTGCTACAGGAACAATCAAACAAGATAGATACAGCATTGGAAACAATTCAAAACCTACAGAAAGAGGTCCAAA